AGCGTGCTAGTTCAGGCGCAAAAAATACTTTTCTTCACCAAGATCTTTTATAGTAAAGGCATCATGTAGAAACTGCTTTGTCGCTGAAATAGAAGACTCAGAACTTCCAGTTATAAGGACATCATCAACATAAATTAGTAAAACCTAGAATGTACCAGAAGATTGCTTTATAAATAAGCAAGGGTCGTGTTCTGATGTAATAAAATCAAACTGTAGCAATTTCTCAGTAAAAACAGTATTCCATTGTCATGAAGCTTATTTGATACCATACAATGACTTTTTTAGCCTACAAACTTGTAAAAGAGAAGCTTTAGCATAACTAGGAAGAGGTTTAATATAAACTTCTTCATCAAGAGTGCCATGAAGAAAGGCATTGTTGATATCTAGCTGGTGGAGAAACCAATTTTTAGCGGTAGCAAGTGCTAAGAAGAACTTGATTGTGACTGTTTTAGCTACCGGGGAGAAACTTTCAAAATAATCCACACCCTCTGTTTGATTGTATCCTTTGGCTACTAGCCAAGCCTTGAATCATTCTACTTTACCATTTGGAAGAAATATAACTTTATATATGCATTTTGTTCCAATAACATGTTTATCATTAGGAAGGGTTGTGAGTTCCTAAGTATCATTAGCTTCCAGGGCATCAATCTCCCTTTGCATAGCAGCAACCCATTTTTTGTGTTTGATGGCTTGTTTATAAGAGTATGGTTCTGCAATATTAGTAATATTTACAAGAAAAGTTATGTATGAAGATAAAAAATTAGAAAAAACCTGATCTGGATAAGTTGGAGGTATGAGGCTTCCGATCAGCGAACTTGGAGGCTGCTTGTGCAATGTAGTCAATATACTATTTGCGATGACAGAATGATAAATAAAATCTTTCATCCAAGCAGGTTTGGTTCTGTGTTTGGTGCTGACTATAGGTGGTTGAACGAAATTATGGAGATGTGGAGAAGATGATGTGTTTTGAAGAGATTGTGAAGACTCTGGATGAGAATCATGCGTTGAAGTAGTACCATGAATGGGAGACGAATTAGGATAAAAAAAGGGGGCATTAGCTGAAATATCAATCTTAGGTAAAAGAATTTCTTCTCAGTCATAACGAATTGTATGAAATGGGAATGAGTTTTGATAAAAAATAACATCTTGGGCAAAATGGAACTGATGATGTTGTATGTCATAGACTTTATAAGCTTTCTTGTGTGCTACATACCCCAAAAAAATGCATTTAAAAGATCTAGTGGCCAGCTTATCTCTAGATGGCAAATTGTTAGATATAAAACATAAACACCCAAAGGTTTTAAGCTAGTTGTAATCTGGTTTACGACTATATATAATCTCGAACGGTGTTCTCCATTGTAGGACTAAACTGGGAAGTCTGTTTATGAGATAAGTGATTATTAAAATGGCATCTCCTCAAAAAATTTTAGGCAAATTGGATTAAAATAATAAAGTTCGGGCTATCTCTAATAATTGTTTGTATTTTTTCTCTACAATCCCATTTTGTTGGGGGGTGTAAGAACATGAGGTTTGATGAATAATATCCAAGGAAGCAAACATTTCCTTATATTGTTGATTTACAAATTCAGTCCCATTGTCAGACCAAACTATTTTTATTGGACACTGAAATTGTATTTGGATCATTTTGAAGAAGGTGCTAAGAGTGGTTTTGGTTTGAGACTTATGATTTAGTAAGAAAGTCCAAATTCCCTTGCTAAAATCATCAACAAGAGTTAAAATATACTAAGTACTGTTATGTGTCTGCATTTTATAAGGTCCCCATATATACATGTGAATTAAATCAAACATGTGGGTGGTTTTTATGCTGCTAGTTGGAAAGGGGAGCCTATGTTGCTTAATCATATGACATACATCACAAGGTTGGATAGATTGACAAGATTGATGATTAATGAAGTGTAAGTGTTTCATAGTAGAAGCAGAAACATGAGCTAATCTAGAGTGTCAAATTAGAACAGAAAGCTCATCTTTATTATCAAAATTTGAAAAAACATTACAAGAAACAGAATTTGATAACTGGTTACAAGTACTTAACATGGGCATAAGCATTTCTTTTTGTAAGGAAGTAGAGGCACATATTTGATTCTTGGGTTTAGTTATAATTGTAACTTTGAAGGATGAGCTATCAAGGATATAGAGTGATCCAAATAGTCTACCAACTGCAAACACTTCAGCACTCTTCAAGTCCTGTATTAAATAATATTGAGGGTAAAAGATAAAAAGTATATTAGAGGTTTTGACAGCTTTGTTAACAGATAGAAGGTTGCAATGGAAAAAAAAATACACACATCTGCCAAAGGTATGCAAGGGTGTAAAAGAGCAGTACTAGCTTATTTCACAATTTTTGTGGTTCCATCAGGCAAATATAGAGGGGTACTTAAGTTAATATCATGTAAATCATGAAGCAATTCTTTATTAAAACACATGTTTGTGCTTGCACGTGTGTCTATGATCTACATGGTGGATTGAAAATTTTTATCAAATGAGAACATAGCATTTTTTGAGGATATACCTGCAAATTCTGTCCCATGAGCAAACATGCCTTGTTTTGCCTCTTGGTCGTTTGCCTTTCATTAATTTAGTTATCTCTTGCTGAATCAAGGATGTAAATTTGCTCCAGTCAGTTTCTCCCACATCGAGAGGGGTATCAGCAATAACAACGACATTGGCTGCCATTTTTTTTTGTCAAGTTTTCCCTTCTAGTTCTTCAAATCTTTCTACCAATCAGGATATCCATGTATTTTGAAGAAGAAATCCTTCAGGTGACTTGGAGCATTACAATGTTTATATATTCTATCTCTTTTCTTCACGTCCTTTTTTTTAGAATTTCCCTTCCCCACATTCTCGCTCTTAAAGTTGGATTTAGTCAGTAAAACACTATTTTCAATCAGATCAGTAGTGTAAATATTTACTTGTCTTCGTTTCTTTACATGTAAAATCATTAAATAGGCCTTGCTTACAGAGAGTAATGGATCCAACATAAGGTTTTGACTTCTAACTCCTTCATATGAAGAGTTAAGATCCATTAAAAATTGAATAAGTTTCCTGAAAGAGTTCATCACATTCAACCTCTTCATAATGTCACAGGAGCACCCTTGACAAGAACATACTGGAATCGGAGTTAATCGATTCAGTTCATCCCAATTCTTCTTCATCCTATTGTAATACATAGTAACAGAATTGTTGCCTTGTTCCATTGAGACAACATGTATTTGGATTGGATATAAAAGAGACCCATTACAGACCACAAGATCCTTTGAAATAGAGCCAAGAATCTAGGATTTTACCATGACATCTACTCTCTTCCATTGAGCATATTCATTGCTGGCTGGATCTAGCCTTTGAATTTCTCCATAAATGAAACCAATCTTATTCTTAGCTTCTAATAAGATTTTAATAGCAGTACTCTAGGTTAGATAATTACTCATTGTAAGTGGAGCTGTAACTAAAGATATTCTTGAATTATCAAACCCATGTATCATCAATTGGTTGCCATTAGTAAGGGTTTGTGTGACCCTTACAACGATGTCTTCTTCTCTATCCATATCTCAAGAAAAAATAAGAAGAACAAGTAGAAGAAAAAAATAGAGCTGTAGCTCTGATACCATGTACAAGTTGTAAACAACTTGAAGAAAAGTATTTGATCAATGAAGAAAAACAAAGAAATTTTTTTTATTAATCTTGAGAAATATTTTATATTTAAGAGCGTGATTATATAGCATAAGATATAACAAACTAGTCCAATGAAATGAAAATACCTGAACTTCTAAAATATGTCTAGCTCATTCTATAAAATAACAAACTTCCTACCTGAAAATATTGTGATGATGAAAACAAAAAAAAATATATATAACAAAAGCTAAAAACATACAAATAACAAAATATGAACTTTTGTTAAAACATAAAATCTAAATATTTTATTATTAACTATAACAATATATATATATTTTCTTGTATTTTAAAAACAAAAAATTGATAGATTATATAGACAATAAAATCCTCTTAACTAACAAAGATTATATGATTAATAGATTATGTAATTAATAAAATTTAATTATCTTGCATTTGTTTTTTAATTTCATTTAGTTTGAAAAGATACAATTTTTAAATATCTAACATAACTCTTTCTGTTTTCATATGCTTTAATATTAAAAAATTATCAATCATTTACATCAAATAATATATATTTGATTAATCAAAAAATATTCTTCCTATCAAGCTTTTACTCCAGAGAATGGCAATTTGGTAAAAGTAATTAAGAAATTGTCAATTTATGAATAGTCTAAATTACCCCTAACAACACCACCAAATTCCTTTTCAACCTCACCAGCCAACCGTGACTCACCCACACTTCTCAATCCCCTACTCAAAACCATTACCACATATTCATCATCACCTCTCCACTCGCTTTCCCTCATAAACCCTACAACTCTCACCATTGACTCTCTCCTCCCAGCTCCAATCAACGATTTAATCAGCCTAATCAGCCCCTTCCCGTCATCATCAGTATCGGAAATTGAAAGCGAGCCATTGATCAGACGGTCGATATCATCCACCTTGCCGTTTCGGGCTAGAGCGTTGACTACATCGGCGTAAAGGTTGAGATCGACGGGCGGGTACTCCGATCGGACGGTGGAGAGAACGTGGAGGGCGAGGGTACACTGATCTTGACGTAGGAGCTCTCGTAGTGCGGCGAGGAGATCGGACTTGAGGAGACGGGAGAGGGACGGGAGGTTGGCGGCGGTGGAGCGGTGTGCACGCTTGAGGGCTTGGATTGCTTGAATTGCCTCGGTGCTCAGGATTCGACCCCTGACCAGGGGGCCACGGTTGCCTCGTGGGCCGCAGCGTACGTGATTGTAGTTTGTGGTGATTTGCTTAGGGTTTGGTTTGAGAGAAGGAATAGGAGAGGAGAAGGGAGTGGAAAGTGAGGTCAGGGATGGAGCCATGAGAGGACAGGTTTTGCTTGGAAGAGGAAAGAAATAAATTTTAGCATTTTAAAACATTAACCACTCAGACACCAACTTAAAAAAAGATTTCTTTTATTTTTATCATGTTTATTATTTACTGTAAAATTTTAAAACATTAGATCACATGTGCTTTCCTGTTTTAAAATTCTTCTTTATAGATAGTTCACAAGCACTCATTCAAGGTCATAGTTCAATAATGACATAGCTGCCAAATTATAAATGATGTAAGTAAATATATCATATATACTACATCAAACATATTGTAGTTGTACTTTAAAATTTTATCAGTTTTATGTATTTATAAATTTTATATACTCACAAAACTTCGTGACATTTTAACACAGTTATTTTTAAGAAGATAATGTGGTTTATAAGCTTATAAGTTTTATATGGGTGTCTACGGAGAAAATTGCTAATTTTTTATAAGCTTCTTAAA